CTAAAGGGCCCCTTTGGCAGTAGGAAACACATAGACTATTATGGAGATTGATTTTGGAATTTAGATGCACTCATTGATTGTGCTTGACCGTACATGTTCATATCCTTAAATGGGATTTTATAGAGCTTACACAATTTGTCAGTCCTCTGGTGGCACTGGGAGGTAGAAAGATCAGGTTTCCTCCTGGAAAATGATAATTTGGCAGATAAGCAGCATGAGGAAGACTTCGAGCTATATTATCACAGGTCTACGTTTGCTGGAGCCTTAGCTCCATTTCAGAAAGGTAGTTAAAGGGTTTTTAAAGGGGACCATAGACTGTCCCTCACCTTTCCAAAAGACTATCTCTTCTTCTCCAACCCAAACCTGGGGGAAAGGAGATGACTTCCCTTCAAAAAGCCCACTGAAGCCAACCCAAGTATGGCCATTTTCATAACCAATACCACAATCCCAGGTGGTATATTTGAGGCTATGGACTGACTGTAGGCAGAGCCGGCAGGGGAACCAGGAGAGGAGAGATGGAGAAGAGGTGAGACATACCAAAAATACCAGAGCCTCTGGATGGACAGAGCCCGCACACAGCATCTGGAACCACAGCAGTCCTCATAGGAGCGGCACCTGCAGAGAGGGTCACTACTGTGAGCTGGACCAGTCAAGTGCTCCAGGCTAAATTTCAGTTAAGTCATTCTTAAACTAACTGCTATCAAATCAACTCCAATTATGGCAACCCCAAGTGTTATCGCCAATATGTGCCAGGGTTAAACTGTGCTCAAGATTTTCAAGGACTGTTTTCTGGTAGATCACCAAGACTTTCTTCTGAGAAGCTGTAGCTAAATTCAAACCTGGAAACTTTCAGTTAGCAGTCAAACATGTTAACCCTTTCTACTACCCAGGAACTTCATTCTAGAGCCAGATGGATGTGGATGCTAATGAAGAGACCAGAACTGTTATTATTGCATTACATAAGGCTACCCAAGCAACCTACTATTGATCTTACAAAAAGAAGTGGCTAGGATAAATATTAAAAAATTCAAACCTGGTCTTGCACGGTCTCGCTGCCTGCTCACATCTCACATGATCTCACTGCCTGCTTCCACCTTGGTCATTAAGGTACTTTGGGGAACAAACTGCTGTCTGGCCTGACCAAGTGGGACACCTTTACCCAGGCAATGAGGAGGTCCTGTGCACCTCGACAGAGGTGACAAGCCACTTCCAGAAGGGAACAAGAAGCTTCCTCTGTGCTCACGCAGGTACTTTGGGAAACAAATTGCACTTTGGATTGACCAAGTGGGACTCCTTTACCCAGGCAACGGGGAAGTCCTGTGTACCTCGACGGAGGTGACAAGTCACTTCCAGAAGGGAACGAAAGACTTACCTTGTGCTCACGCAGATACCTGGGGAACAAACTGCTGTCTGGCTTGACCAAGTGGGACCCCTTAACCCAGGCAATGGTAGGTTCTGTGCACCTCGATATAGGTGACAAGACACTTCCAGAAGGGAACAACAGGCTTCCTCCATGTTAAAGCAGGTAATTTGGGCCACAAACTGCTGTATGGCCTGACCAAGTGTGACCCCTTAACCTAAGCAATAGAGAGGTCCTGTGCACCTCGATGGAGTTGACAAGCCACTTCCAGAAGGGAACAACAGGCTTCCTCCGTGCTCACGCAGGGTCCTGTGACACCTCAATGGAGGTGAGATGCCACTTCAAGAAGGGAACAACAGGCTTCCCTAGTGCTCATGCAGGTACTTTGGGGAACAAACTGCTGTCTGGCCTGACCAAGTGGGACTCCTTAACCGAGGCAACGGGGAGGTCCTGTGCACCTCAACGGAGGTGACAAGCCACTTCTAGAAGGGAACAACAGGCTACTTCTGTGCTCACACAGGTACTTTGGGGAACAAACTGCTGTCTGGCCTGACCAAGAGAGATCCCTCAACGCAGGCAACGGGGAGGTCTTGTGCACCTCGGTAGAGGTGACAAGTCACTTCCAGAAGAGGACAAGAAGCTTCCTCTGTGCTCATGGAGGTACTCTGGGGAACAAACTGCTGTCTGGCCTGACAAAGTGGGATCCCTTAAGCCAGGCAATGGGGAGGTCCTGTGCACCTCGATGGAGGTGACAAGCCACTTCCAGAAGGGAACAACAGGCTTCCTCCATGCTCACGCAGGTACTTTTGGGAACAAAGTGCTGTCAGGCCCTCAACCTTACAGCCTGGGGCCAAAAAGAGACCACAAGTATATAGGTGCTTCTCAAAACTTTGCTGTGGATCAACGTGGATATTTGAGAGCTATGAGAGCTGTAAGCACATACAGGGTGCAGTAAGTCTCGGCATGGTACAGCTGAACCTCTGTGGGATACAGTAAGCCACAGTGGGGAGTAGCGAGTGCCAGCAGGGAACAATGAGCCACAGAGGGAGAGGAACCCACCTGCCAGGAGAAAGCAAGACAGTGGCAAACTGGGTGAGGTCTCCCCCACACTACCCTCCTGTGTGCATCTACTCCCACCCCTGCCAAAGTCTGTGTCTGCACGTGGACCTTCCATATGTGCATCTGCTTTTGTGCCTGCCCAAACTCCCTCCAGAGCAGTGATGTCAGTTCAAGAACCAGCTATTGTCTCTGGCACGAAACACTCTACTACAGGCATGTCTGGAAAGAAGCAGACTACATCACTCCCCACCTAAACCTAATGCAAGATATCACCCCCAAAAAGAGACACAGTAGCAATGGATTTCCTGAAGCCAGAAGGTCTGATAGATCTTTCTGATACTGAATTTAAAAGAACAATGATTGAATATTTTCAATGGGTGAAAAACAAAGTTTAAGAATTACAGGACAAGGCAGGCAAAAAACAGGAGGAGCTTAAAAAAAAATAAAAACAATACAGATAAAACTAAGAAGGCATTAGAGGCACTGGAAAAAAAACAAGAAACCATGATCCAAAATATGAGGTCCAAGGTTTCAGATGCTGTCAACATGATGGAGGACACATGAACAGAGCTGAAGAGTTAGAACACAGAACCAGTGAAATAGAAGATGTAATTGTCAAGTAAAGGCACCAAAAAAGTTCTGGAAGAATTACTAGAAGAAAACTTTCCAGGCATAATGAGGAGTGTTTTTGTTGTTGTTATGTGCTGTCGAGTCGCTTGCAACTCATAGCAACTCTATGTACAACAGCTCTAAACTCTACTCTGTCCTGTGTCTATCTCATTGTCTCCCGATTACCCCAGTCACCGAATCAATCCATCTCCTAAGGGCCTTCCTCTCCTGTGCCTGGCCTCCACCCTCCCAAGCATGATGTCCCTCTCCAAGGACTGGTCCCTCCTTACAACATGACAAAAGTATGTCAGACGAAGCCTCAGAATCCTTGCCTCCAAGGAGCAGCCCAGTTTAACCCTCTCCAGGATGAATCTGTTTTCTAAGCAGTCCATGGCACTCTCAGCACTCTTCTCCAACACCAAAGCTCAAAAGCATCAATTCTCCTTCTATCCTCCCTGGTCATTGTCCAGCTCTCTGATGCATAACAAGTGATTGCAAAGACCATGGACTGTACCATACGCACCTTACATTTCTCCTCATAGAGCCCAGCCTCCCGGATGATCTGATCTGCATGCAGGTTGAAAAGGTATGGAGATAGGACACATCCCTGGCGTACGCCCTTCCCAATTTTGAACCATGCAGTGTTTCCTTGCTCTGTTCTGACGACTGCCTCTTGGTTCAAGTATAAGTTTCACATTAGCACAATCAAGTGTTCTGGGATTCCCATTCTTCTCAGAGTCAGCCACAGTTTGTTATGGTCCACATAGTCAAATGCCTTTGCATAATCCATGAAGCACAGATAGACATTCCTCTGGTACTCCCTGCTTTCAGCCAATATCCATCTAACATTGGCTAAAATATCCCTAGTACCACGACCCCTTCTAAACCCATCCTGGACTTCTGGCAGTTCTCTGCTGATGTGCTGTTCCAGTCGTCTTTGGATACTCTTCAGCAGAATCTTGTTTGCATGTGAAATCAACGATATTGTTCTATAGTTTCCACACTCTATTGGGTCACCTTTCTTTCTTTGGAATGGGAACAAATATAGAACTCTTCCAGTCAGTTGGCCAAGTGGTTGTTCTCCAGATTTCTTGACACAACTTGGTAAGCATGTCCAGGGCAGCATCTGTTAGCTGAAATATGTCAATTGGTATACCGTCTATTCCTGGGGCGTTATTCTTTGCTATTTCTTTCAAAGCAGCTTGAACTTCTTCCTTCATCACCATAGGCTCTTGCTCATGTTGTTTCATTAAGTTCTTCTGTGTCTGCTAATTTCTTTCAATACAATGACTCAGTATATTCTTTCCATCTTCTTTTGATACCTCCTGGAACATTTAATACTCTGCCTAAAGCATCCTTGATTATAGCAACTCGAGGTTTGAATTTGTTCTTCAGTTCCTTGAATGAAGAGTGAGAGAATACATATCCAAGAAGCTGAGTGAACACCATACAGAATAGACCCCAAGAGAAAAACACCAAAACATATCATAGTCAAATTTGCCATAAACAAAGGTAAGGAGAGAATTCTAAAAGCACTGAGGGAGAAACAGAAAGTAACCCATAAGGGAAAGCAGATAAGATTAAGTGTAGATTTCTCAGCAGAAACCATGGAAGAAAGAAGACAGTGGAATGACATCTATCGAACACTGAAAGAACAAATCTGTCAACCACGAAAACTATACCCAGCAAAATTGTGCCTCAAATTTGAAGGGGAAATCGAGATGTCAGGAAAACAGAACCTAAGGGAATTTGTAAAAACAAGACCAGCATTGCAGGAAACACTGAGAGACGTCCTTATTACAGAAGTGTCACAGAAAGCAGGATGGGCCAAAGTAACTAGCAACAACACCAAAAAGAACTCAGCACAATGATAGTAATAAAACCTTGCCTCTCCATAATCACACTGAATGTGAATGATTTAAACGCAACACTGAAGAGAACAAGACTAGCAGATTGGATAAAAAAGAAAAATCCATCAATATGTTGTCTATAAGAGAAACACCAGAATAATGAAGATAAAGAAGGATTAAAAAGAAAAGGATGGGCGGAAAAATATACCAAGAAAATGGCAACCAGAAAATAAATGTCAATGTAAAAATCATCACAAAGGACAAGGAAGGTCACTACATAACGCTGAAAGGGTCAATAGAACAAGAGGACATAACAATAATAAATATCTATGCACCAGATGAAGGACCTGCAAAATACATAAAACAAACATTAACAAAAGTGAAAAATGAAATAAACAACACTACTACAATACTTGGAGACTTCAATACAACCCTCTCAAGAAAAGAGAGCATTACCACAAAGAAACTCAACAAAGATGCTGAAGAATTAACACATGATAAACCAACTCAATTTCATAGCTATTTAGGCTAATGCACCCCCAAAAAGCACAGTATACTTTCTTCTCCTATGTACATGGAACATTCTCCATAATAGATCACATTCTAGGTCACAAGGCAAGCATCAATAAATTAAGCAACATAGAAATAATATAAAGCATCTTTTCATACCATAATGCTACAAAATTAGAAATTAATAGCAAAAAGATAAAGGAGAAAAAAAATCTATTTGGAAGCTG